TAACCTTCTCAATTCAGTAACGAAGTATACAAGTTTTCAACAGAGCCTGATAGATTTATATGGACTGTCTCTTCTACCAAAGTACCCGGAACTTAAATTACATAGGTGAATTGTGTGGTTGGCTCAGTGTTGCTTTTCAGTGGAACCATGTTTTATCTATGGTGTAACGTATCTGTATACGTCGATAAATCTACACCTTTTCCAAAATTATTTGAAAAGTCATCAATTGTATTTGAGCATCTATTTTTGTATTTGAGATGTCAGTGAATGAGTAAGATGAGTCTCACATTTGACTAGTTCCTAAATGGAATTCACTGCTCACAAATTCATTTTAAGCTTTTCTTAAATACAACTAACAGTTATCATCTCTCAAATACATTTGACGATTCCAAATGCAAAATGTTTTCTGATTCTCAAATGATACCAGTAAAGGTGTAGGAGCATAGACCCAAACACACTTTTCATCGGGAATCTCGAAGCTAGTTATTCGTGTTAGTCCAGTCAATGAATGATCCTAAGTAAGTGTAGAGTGCGTGAGCAGGTAACTAAGCGATTCCTTCAGAAACTTGTTCAGGGGGCTTAGGGTGTTAAGTCCTGAGTCCTGACTCCTAGGTGGTGAGCCAGGGGGTGGAGGGGGGAAAAACGGAACGCATTTTGTTTTTTTTTTATTATATCTCGAAAACTATCAACCTTTTGTATACTATAGTTAATTATAAAATTGAAGAAGATTAAATTTTCTACAAGAAAAGTTCATAATGTGTTTATTTTGGTTCAACAGATTACGAGTTATAACTTTTCTCCCCCCCCTTTTTCCCCTCTCCACCTAGGAGTCAAGACTTTTGGTATGGTAACACCCTAAGCCCCCTGAACAAGTTTCTGAAGGAATCGCTTAGTTACCTGCTCACGCACTCTCTACACCTCATTCCTTGACTGGACTATGTCTACTTCTTTTAAACTTTAAGAAACAAATATGCTTTTTTTTAAAACGATTGTATTTGAGATTAGCCAAATATATATTAGAAAACACCCAAGTTGAGAACAGTCAGGTGTATTTGAGAAGGCATTAATTTAATTTAAAAGCAGTAAATTATATTTAAGAAACGGAAATGCATCGATTTTGATGAGACTCAAAATTCACTTCATAAATCTCATTTGTTAATTTTAGTGCTTATTTATTTGCACTTCAATACTTGTTTATTTCATTGGAACTTTTAAGTCTTGTCAATTTGACAACTGACTTAGAATATTGGGACCAATTTCTCAACTATACTTTTAAACTAAAAATTATCCAAGCTGAATTTTAAAGGTAAAATAAATTTGTCTTGTGAAAAATTGCAAGTGGTGTTTCGCAACTGAAGGTTATATGCATACTATTTATTAATATTCTTAGTTTTCTAAAAGGGGGTGAAATATTGCTCATTGTCATTTGAGGCGATCACGTTTAGTTTGGAACCCCGAGGTACATTTAGATCAACAAAATTACAAGGACAAAATATTAGGTATAAATTCCACTTGGATTTACTGATCAAACGCAATTATTACATATTTCACCTTTAGTCACAACTGTTCAATTGTTAACAATTAACAATTTCACCAACAAATTCAGCTGGATTGCCTTGAATAGCTTTATATTTATTAGATGGAATGAATTTCTCTATCAACCGTAAAATTGCCCCTAACATTATCACTACTGTATTACTTACGTGTTGCTTGAATTAACCTATTGGAATTGCTCAGAGTATTTAGAAATATAATTATCAAGAGAATGTTTTAAATAAACCTCACTTTCGACCATAGACTTTCAGTGGAAAAAATTCAACCGATAATTCTGTGGTAGCATAACTCTTAATGCATCTTCTCAAATTAACAAAACTGTCAAAAAATATCAGCAATTCCAACAGTTTAATTAAACCGCCTGGTGTTGTCTCAACTCTCACACTTCTTCCCAGGAGCACTTTCTTCATCTTGAAGTTTTCTTCGTGCACTTTTTATACTAATCACAAATGACTGCAGAGTGCAATGAACTAACAAAGAAGACTTAAGAATGTTTCAATAAAAACCATTAATCTTTGAATAAAACGCAGTCATTTTCAATTTTGTCTTGGGACAACAAAATTAAAATATTTTTAGGCAAATTCAATTTTGTTTCAAGTTTTATCTCACAACAGTTTAATAAGTAGCTTCTTTTGTATGTTTACTGTAATCTGCTGCCATTTGGTCACTCATAACCTTTTTACTGCTCTGGTCAAGTTGAAAATGTCTCAACAATGCCCATAACCTCTTCTGCCAACTCTTTGCAGGACCAGACTGCCCTTCTCAGAAATTTAATTTTTAAGAACATAGTCTTACAAAAGAGGAATAATTAATAGCACCACTTGAATTACAACTGAGTACAAGTATAAAATAAGTTCAGTTTGAATACCCTATCAGTGTAAAAATTGCAAAACTTTAAAAAAAGAAATGCAAGACTTTTCAAAAAGCAATGTAAGAATAAAAAAATCACATTAATTAATCCTCTTTTTGAAGACCTACCCGTTCAAAGCTATGCTCTTGCTTCGCAAAATGAGCTCAAAATCAAGTTTGAGAAGTTGGCAGAACATTGTTTTTTTTTATCAAATCACAGTCAACCTCATTTTTATTTCTTTAGTTGTGTTAAACCTTTTATATATTATATTTTTATTCCAATAAAATCGCAGTCGATCTCATTTTTATATAACTGTTTTGTTTAGTTGTGTTTACCTTCTTTAATACAGGGTTAGGCAGACCTATAGTTGTTGAATGTGTTCAGTTTTGCATGATTGTGTTTATTAGGTTAATGATTGTGTGTAAAGGGTAGATGTTTAGTTTTATAGTTTTTAAAAATATATTTACCCTCATTATTATTATTATGGAAGGGAAATTGTTGATGATTTTTTATCAAGTGGCTAACTGGTAATCCTAGTTCAAAAATGGATAAAAGATTTCAAGAGTTTAAAAATCATGTTTGAAGTGAAAGTGATACCGGGACCTTTATACCTACCAACCAAGGTTGCCATTGTGTCAGCAACTCTTCTTTCCGCAGATCCAACAATGAAACAACACAACTAACTTCTTCTCCAAAAATGTTAATTTTGTTCAATTCACACGCCCTTTTAAATTTTTTACAACACTTTTTTTTTACTAGCTCAAAAAGTTTGCCAATAATATAATCTCCCATCCAGAAAAGCCAGACTAAGCTCCGCCACAAGGAAAATTTTTATTTTAATATCTGTCAATTATGTTTAATTAACAAACATAGAATTGAATTGATTGATTAATAAAGGAAAGTGTCATTAAATGAACATTACAAAAAACACCGAGCTTCGAATTTACAGCTTAAAAGATATACCGCCGCCGCAAATGCAAGACCTCGTTGCTGCTCAAGTAGACATTCTTTAGGCTACCAGTTGTAAGGCCAGTCTATTATTCAGGTACACAAAGTTCCATTTTCTCTTCTTGCTAATTAAAAATGATGTATATTAAGTTGCTCTTAAATTTGGTGGAGCTGTGTTGGTAATAGAAAGTCAACTTAAAAGCAGCTACATTCAACAGCTTAGGATATCTGGCTACAACTGTAACACTTGGAAATGAATGTCTACTTGAGTCAAAGAATACCGGTTATCAAATATAATAAAACATTGAGGTTTTTTAACTGATAAACTGATACGAATTAGGATAAATATGAAAATGCAAAAAACTGTTTGAAAATACATTAAGTTATTCATTAAAGTTTTAAACAAAACTGAAATATCCGTCTCCAAATGCAACAATGTATTTGCATTTCAGAATTCATATCAGTTTACCAATTTGGATCTCTTACCATGGAGTTAAATACTCACCTTATTACCATTAAAATTGTCCTCTTCCTTCTTCAAGATCTCACCAACTTAAATGTTTAACCTTACTTAAACCTGCAGACGATTTGTCCCTCCAACCTTAACTACCTTTTTCATCTTAAATAATACCCTACTAGCCCTAGCATAAAACTAACCTGCCTAGGATATATCTACTCTAATTACTCGTTGCGAGTCTGTCAATTAAATAATTATAGAAAGAAGAGTGGAAAGAATGCGACAGACATTGGAAGAAACTTAACCTACTTATCTAAGGCTGGGCCCACACAGAAAAGTTTGAACATTTACCTTACCAAAATCTTACACCTCAACTATTAGCCCTACTTGTATTATAAGGCAAAACTTCCTATAGAGAGCAGTTCTGTGTGCACCTTACCTGTTCTCTAGTCTACTTACATCTAAGCTTAGAAATAGGCTTAGAATCAATCTTAAGTTGGAAAATGATTTTCCAATGAATCTCAAAACTTAATCTAACTTATTATATATACTCAGATAGAGATAATGCAAGGATTTAAGTTGATTCATCCCAGCAACAAAGATAAATATTTCAAAATTCATGGAAATTTAAATAGTAGGCATCACATTAACTCCTGCTCAGATGACTGGTGCAATGCTTGTTAGTACCAATTTTCATGGATTAAAATTAAAAGAAAGCATACTTCCAAATGAAAATTAACAGAAAGCGTATTTCCACACACTGCTAAGACCTTGTATGAGACATTTTGGATAAATCTTATCAGTGTGCTGAAATAGGCCTTTTTACAACTAAGCCCGCTTTGTTGAAAAACAATCAACAACTTGAGAAACAATAAACACCTGAGAAGAAATTAAGAGGATTGAAGCATATCAAACGACAGCGTTAAACACATGCTGTATCATTTGCTGCTAAAATGATCAACAAAACTCCTATGCCGAATTTTTGTTACAACTAATTTATCCAGGACATTATATATTATAATACTGCTATTAATGAATATGATATCATCAACATTTCAATAACAAATTTTTCACAAAAACTGTATTATAAATCTCACCAAGTGGGTGGGTTAGCTTGCACATATAAAATTAATTCAAAGTTGTACTTAATGTTGATGACACCATATGAATTCCATGTAATCTGATGCATACCTTGTGAGTCCCTGTGTTGGTTAACTGCTTCCTGTGCCGCCATGAAAACTTCATCTGTACCTGACTGGTTAGCACCCAAATTCCAAGCCGCAAAACCTATAACACAAAACAATATATTTTGAGTAAATTATATCAAAAACTTAAATTCAACCTCTTATTTTCTAGTTCCTTGTGCTCTCAAGTTTATGAAGCGATATCACTAATTTCAATTTGCCATTTTATTTAAATTATTTTGTTATCAAGTCTGTAATATTGGGACATTAAAGCAATAGCGAGAGCTATGTGAATTTTATGCAATTATAAATCTACAATGCCTTGCTAGATTCCACAGTATATCATCACTTTAAATAATTACAGTAGACTCCCTCTTATCCGGACTCCTCAGGATCAAGGCCAGTCCGGATAACGGGTTTTCCGGTTAAGCTGACGTCCCTAAAACACGATAAAACGGACCGTTTACGGAGTTATTCAACTTAAATTTAGGAGAGCATTGTATTTAGACATGTGGTCACTGGTCTCAAATCTTTCCCACCGCCCACTTCCTGCCGATTTAGTCTGGTTAAACCAATGCATTGATAAAAATTGTCCGGTTTGTAGAGTGAAGTCCGGTTAAAAGGTGTCCGGATAAGAGGGAGTCTACTGTATGGATTTTAAATAAAAAGTTTTCTTTCAAAATATGAGAGCAGTAAAATTATTTGTAATTACTATTGCTCCTTACATTGACATTCGGTTTGTTTCAAGTTAAGTCACAAATAACTATTTCCTACAGTTACCTAACAATGTACATGTTCTCTCAATGATTTGAGAAAGCAAAGTGGCTAATTCACTCATCAGCGAGACAACGTTAACATTGTCTCACTCCAGATTTGCAACGTGAAGGCACGAAAGTGGCCAATTCGCTTATCAGTGAGACAATGTTAACATGAGATTTGCAATGTGAAGGCACGTTTCTTAACCAATTTATTTGTTTAATGGTAACTGTAGGAAAAATATGACTGCAATTTTAGGAAGCTTAAATAGTAATCATCCACCAGTTAATTAGTAACCAAGCTTGACCACAGAAAACAAATGTACAGTATTGATAAAAATAAACAAATGCTAACAAGGCAATTACAAATATCACAGTATAGCCTACACTCCCTAGCTTTTACTACCCTTACTTTGGTTATCTGACAACTGATATGGAAACCCTTCAAATCAACATCCAAAATATGTTTTTACTAATTAAATACTAATTTGCAAATACATTATGGCTTCAAATAAAATTCAATTACACATTTGCCCTTGCCATTAAGTCTTTTTCACCCCTGGTGTAGTTGTGTTTTTTGGGACATGCCAATGGGGGGGGGGCAAGGTTTTGAAGATGGGCGGGAGGAAGCGCAAGGTCAATATGCACACCATTCTGAAAAGATCGTTAACACACGACTACTAAATCAAAACGTCAGTGATTTATCTGTTTTGTAAAAGGCTGCAGTAGCATCCAACAAACCAAAACACTTCAAAATTTAAAAAAAAATTGTTTTAGCAGTGTTTTAAAGTTACTCAATTTGCTTTAGGCCTACTTTAAGATTTGTTTGTACTTGTACTATTGATTTTCTTGGATATATCATGTATGAGGGCCCTAGAACCAACATAAATCTGTTTTAAGAGAAAAGTTTTAACATTACACATCTTTACGCATTACATCCTGGGTGAATGTAAGGGAACATTTTTAACATTATATCTTTACGCATTCTATCCGGAGCAAGGGATGTCCAAGGCATGTTTTTGTTGTTTTCGCAAGGGTGAAGAATGGTAGTAAGATTGGTAATTGACACTTCAGTACTGCAAAAAAAAATACACAATTTACAATTGAATGTAAAAACATACCTTGATTTGAGATATCGTTGCCATGGGATGGTCCGGGCCTTGACATGTTGCTCATGTTTGACATATTGGAGATATCCATGCCATCCATGTCGTCATCATCATCCAGCGTCAGGTCCTCAACACTATCTTCGTTATTCACATCTTCCAGGTACTCAGTCTTAGGTTCTAGCAGGGGCTCACTAATAGGCTCTATTTCCTTCTTTAGCACATCTGCTGGTAACGAATTTGTATCTACCCTATTAATTTCAGTCTGTTCAGGTTTAACAATGGCCGGTTTAACGATGGGAGTGGTGGTGATGGATGAAGTCGCTGCGGGAATGTTAGGAACTGGGGTGGATTGAGCTTGACTTGGAAGATCACAGTTGTTTTCTATATGACTGTCTTCATCCTGAGAGCTTCTTCTAACTCTTCTCCTCTTTCTTGAAGAAGGCGACATACTTCCGTCCGTCAGCGGGCTGTCAGGTCTGGCAGGTTCAGAACGGCTCGAAGGGGCAGGTACATTTGGTTTTCTAGGAGGAGGAGCTTTAGGCGTCGATCCGACATCTCGTGCATCTCCATCAGCTCCATTATCCGAGAGCCCTTTGATTTGTAGAGATTCAGCAGCCTTCAGAAACGTTCCTAGTTGATCCTGGGAAATGTTGACTTCGCCTCGATACATGTAATCCATCATGGACTTGAGCTCCGAAAACTTGACATCCTTCAAAATGACGATTGGATGCTTTTCATAATGCTGGCTCAGCAGTGCCTAAAACATACAAGAAAGATTGTTAGTACCGTACTGTATGCAACATGGTTTTTTTTAACCTCTGTAACATGCTCATGATTTCTGACAACAGTTGGAGTTTCATAACAATTTTTGTTTCCAATGTTAATCTTATGGAGAAATACAAAATTTTAAAGGGCCCCAGGGCCTCACTCTCAAATTAATTTCCTAAAAAGAAAGTTTCCTGCACAGCTTCACGTTACGCTCTTTCCAATGACACCGAAAACATGTCAATCGGTTCAGTAGTTTCGGAGGAGTAATAGTCACAAAAAACCTGCTTGCGTATTAAATAAGTGTAGATTTATTTGTAAAATGCATTTATTTCATACTAATTATTGAAATTTTACAAACAAACTGTTATACCCTCCCTGTTGCATCAATCCTAGAATACTCGTTAAACTAATAATGCTATTTCAATAGGAAATAAACATGATATTTTTATTTTAAAGGAGACATTTAAGTGTGGATCCTAAAGCTAGGGGTTTCCAAGATCACGCCAGTGTGATGTCCAGTGGCGCTATTTTTTGTCCAGCGGATGCCTGATCAAGCTCGGCGTGAGAGTGGTTTGCAAGAAAGCAGACATTTACAGTTATTTCTCTTGGGAAATGAGCTAGTGTCAACAATGAAAAAAATTGCATTAACACATTCGCTGCGGGTGGCTCGGATTCGGGACACGCGTAGCGTCCTGAGCATGCGCATGTCCCGGGTCCGAGCCATCCAACCTTGTTAAACAAAAGCAGCCAGTATGAGTCTAGTGTTTGACGATGAACGTTACTACTTGCTGAGCGTGGTCTGTAAATACAATAGAAATCTGTTTTTGCCGCCGCTACTTAGTTCGGGTGCGCTCTGATTTTTTGCTGATTTTTATGTTCGCGCTTGCCTTTATGTTAGTCTGCTTGTGTTTAGTCGTGTTTGGACTTTTTTATGTATTTAAATGTTTGTTTTTGTAAATTTGTAAATTGTTTCTTAGGTTGGTAGTAAAAATCCCCGTCTGGCAATCTCAAAAACCTATTTTTTGTCACGGTCTTTTTCCCTCCATTTGTCAATACAATTACAATGGGACCGGCTATGTTCCAAGCAGTGCTGCTATCTGTGGGTGTTTAGTGAACTATGTCGACCCTAGTTGTAAAGCAGGACATCACCACACGTTATTTGCAATTCGTCAGGCCAAAATTGGAAAGCCAATTACACGCGGCAACCGGGCTTGTTCGACGCTGAGGGGACGTGCAGCAGCGAATGTGTTAAATGAGAAATTTACAAACTAAATTAATACTAACTTATATCGTCAAAACAGTTTCAAATAACATTGGAGTTATTTGGCAGTGTTTGATTTATAAGGGGTTTCTGACATCACAAGTTTAAGATTCGTTTACAAAGTGTTCAGTGTCATCTATTATGACAGATTCTTCAGATATAATTTTTAAATTTCTAGACATCAGATTTCAGATGTATTTTGAGACTGACCCCGAGGTGTAGGCCTACTACATTTAAAAAAAAAAACTGTACCAGACACTAAAAATTCCATAAACCCCTGCTTTGCAAAACTGTCTGCTCAAAAGAATTAACTTGATAATGACTCAGCCAGCCTGTTTTGTAAACAGATGTTACGCGATCAGTGATGCCAACCCGCCAATCAAAACTTGACTACAAAAAATGGGTTAAAATTTAAAGCCTAGGCAAAAATAAATTTAACTTGCTTACCTCCAAATAAGGGCTGCAGGCGCATAAAACCACTTTGTGTGCTTTCAAATATTGCCCCTCCGCAGCAAGTGTGCAGTCTACCAGAGTCCCATTTTCTAACAGGGTGTCGAACACGGAGATCAAAGTGGATTGATGGTTGTTCCATCGCAGACAGAATTGTTGATCCGCCATTTTCTTTAGTCACTATCTGGAAAGAAAATAAAAGGATAAGATAATAGGCTCATAAAAACATTTATGTATGCTGATGGAAAACATTCAGTAAAGACCTGTAAGCAAAATTCTCTACTTTGCAAAATAGGCCTATGAAGATCTTACCTTCACCATCCATTTAACCCTTAAGCACGTGTGCTAGATTTTACTACACTGGAGCGCAATTTTAAAATCGTTAATCGATAGTATAGTCAATGATGCTATCAATAAAATTTGAAATAACATATTAAATACTAAACCAATTCAATCCACAGCCGAGTGTCGATTGGGAATCGTATTGTGTAAATCGTATGTTGTCCGTCTATTGTCTACACTACAGCACAGTTCCGCCATTGCTTGCTACACAAACGCTAATACTTATTGCAGTCAAGTCAAGATTATGTCCCGATACCGGCAATGGCGGCAACAGTTGCTCGCACTGAACTAGAGCTACAACCGAAGGTACTGGTATCACCGAATACGAGACCGCCGAGAATTTGAGCCATTTGTGCCACTAGAGGAATACAGTAAAGCCCCAGTTAACCGAATTAAGGATGTTTGGTTTAAAATTTTCATGTCTGATTTTTTGTAATTGTTCAATTGTACTAATAATAAATTAGAGATATAAATATACAAGTCAACATTTTTTATTTTGAATATCAAGCGAGATATGGAGCTTGAAAGGAGCAATTTTTTTATCTTTAGTACCAATTTACAGGGAATACGATTCTCACCAAAATTGGCATTCAGGTGTGGAAAAATAAGATAATAATCACTAGCTAGGCTATATAAAATTTTAAATTTAAAAAAAATTTTTATTTAAATTTTAGTTTTAAATACCTATAACACTTTTATTAATTTAAGAAAAAAAATTTAAAACTATAAATAGCTTTTATTGGGGAAAATTTATTTTTAAGTTGGAATTTTAAAAAATTTTGATGTAAACTTAACAACTTGTTTGGGCTGTGAATTTGTATCTTTGATGCCTTGCGCTGTCGGAGCACTACTCGTTGAGAGTGTACGTATTTTATAATAATTATAAAATTATAATTACTATACGTATACTGTAATTATAATGTTATTCAATGTAACATCTCGTAATTATTAACATTGAAAGAATATTACGCGTAGGTATTAGGCTAGAGATATACAAGGGCTGGCTCACTCCTTTGATGTTAGCGGTCGCCGCCTGATCCTACTTCCCTCCCCCGCCACTCCTCAGTGACGTAGCGGAGATGCATCGGCGCGAGGCGTGACGGTAGCCTAGCACGGCAGTGCATATGTCGCCCGGCATCTACGCGCATATTAATAATTGTGTTTATAATAATGTAGTTTTATAGTGTGATTTTTAAAGTGGGTTTCGTTAACCCTCCAACTTGCAATGGGCGAACTCTGTAGTGGCAAGGCATTTTTGGCAATTTTGCAGTCATATTTTCGAAAATTCATATAAACTAAACCAACAGATCAAACCTATGTAACTAAAAAAAAAAAAAAAAAAAAATGATGATTCTGATTTTGATTATGAACCGTATTATTTCCGAAGTGTTCGTAATGAAATGAAGAATTTGAAAATGGCAACGAAATAAATATTAAAAATGTTCTAGAAAATATTGTCAGTAGGTAGAAAAATTGCTGCATGAACCAAAAATGTTTCATAAGATATACAAATTGTTTGGAATTTATTTCCCTACATGGAAATGTAAAAAGATTCCAATTACCATTTATACAAAGTTATGGCCCAAAAACAATAAAATGACAAGATCACGATTTTGCACAACAAATTTTAAATAAAAACCAAATAAATGTATTATCAAGAGATAAAGTAAAAGTAAACATTTTTAGGCAATAATATTGGAGATCAAATGAAGTAAGAATTGTTTATGTATACTGATCATCATTTCAATAGATGTTTATGACTTTTAATAAATGTTTATATTTGTCTAGAAAAACATTTTGTTATTCACACGTACACAGTATATATTATTTTAAAAACCCAAACCAACTATATTCATTTTATAAAATGAAAGTAAACTTATTCCCCTACATGAATAAACCATGGTGGAAGGAAAAAACACCAGGAAGGTTTTTTCCTTCCACCATGTGAATATAGGCTACATAGTTATAATTGTCGATTAAATCGTTTGTTAAATTATGACGAAATGTTTCAAAAACGGGCTAAATGTAATGCCCAAGATCTCAAATTAAGTAAGTATATCCACATAAAACAGTTTATAAACTAAATAAGTACAATTTTTACAACTAATAAATACGATTAAAGTGATAAAGTCAAACCCGTGATATTCGTTGTTGGTAAACAGTCAATGAAGTTCACAAAAACTGGCTAAAAAATAGTGTCTCAGGTTTCTAAAATTAATGTCACATTACAGTCGAGGCACAATAAGTAATATCGTAAGTAAACATTTACAACGTATAATCACGAGTACGTATAATCCATTGCATTTTTGAAATCGTAGCCTCGTTGTTTAAGCCAATGTTCCAATAGTGATAAAACGTTGTAGATTTTACATAAATAAACAACCCGGCCAACTATAACCTATACTTTACCTTACTCAGCCACGAACCCGCATAATCCCCGTCTCCCCTTCCCCACATGCCTAAATAAAGTATTTCCGAGGTTATATTACATAGTCTACAACCCAGTGGTATGATGAGAATTATTACTCTTTGCCTTGGACGACGCGACAACAAACCTAGTGACGTGTCATTGCCACATCGACATCTGTTTAGGTTGGTACTAGCCATTTATCCCTGATATGTGCATAAAATCCCTAAAATGGGGATATTATCCCCAGTAATTTTGATGTTTATCCCGTTTTAGGTACTTTATCCCGCATAATTTTAAAAAATCCCATATTCATTGTACAAATTACCCATCTTCCCATGGAATTACCCTTTTGTCTCGATGTTTAAGAGACTTTTTCCCCCCACCCAAAACCCCGGATTCCCACTCTGTCCCCTAGTGAGTAGGAATTATTGCTGATAACAATTACCCTGATGTCTCGATGTTTTAGCGAGTTAAATTGTTTTAGCGAGTAAGGAAGGCTCGGCGACAAAAAAGTTATTTAAGCGAGTTGTAGTATCGATGTCAAAGAACAGTTTAAGAACGTTTTTAAGTGCGTTTTAGGTGAGTTGTGGAAACTGAACAATAACCAAAATTTCCTTTGTAGGTAACCAAAAGTTTATTGTCTAGAGAATCACTCGAAATATTTGTATTACCTAGTCAATGATAATTTTTTATCAAGGATGACGTGCCTAAGTTATTTTTTTTTCTCATCTATTTTACTTTCTTCACTCAACGTAGCAGACTAGCAGCATGGATTAGGCGTTCGGGAGTTACAGTCATTACCCAACCTAACCAACCAAACTTGCTGATAATGAAAAAATTGAATGAAGGTTCATAAAATAAATTATAAATGTCAAAAATTCTATCAAAAGATGTAGTGTTTTTCAAATTTAATTAATAGCATATTCAGCGATATCTTTAGTCCTAAAGCCCCCCATACACTATCCAACATGTTGGACGGACATGTCGGGATCCAACGTCTTCTCGAACATATTGGACAGTGTGTTGGTTCCAACCTGACATGCTCAACGAATATGTCAGGTCGGATGCTCGGTCCGGTAGCACCACCCGACTCGAGCCATCCACCTGACATGTTGGACCGTGTGTGGGAAACCGTCGAACTGCTCGCCCGACTAGCCACAGTTTTCAGTTGTATTTAGCGAGTTGTGCGTGATAACCGTCCCATTTTTCCATACTGTCATTTAACGATAATAAACAGTTCTGGTCAGAATTTATTTAACCCTACAGAGACCAGAAGGCTTTGTGGGATGTCAAAAGTAAACTCTATTTCAACAAGCATGCGCGTAGAGAGGAGCACGATATCCTGATGTAAAAGTGCAAGGGACTGTATGTATCCAGAGTGTGATTTAAACTTCGTTAAAAATAAAACAGAAAATTTAACCCTCCGAGTGTCCATAGTTTAGGCCTTAATGTCCGCCTATTTTTGGCGCATTTGCAAGGTTTTATTAAAACGGATCTGAAAAGCTTAAAACAATGTTAATTCTACTGTTCTAAATACCATTTTGTTTGGAAAATCATGGGCTTCAATATCATACATAAAACCTAAGGAATATTTGTTTCAAAAAAATTTTTTAGGTAAAAATAAAAATTATTTTTGAAAAATTAAAGAAAAAAAATAAGTTCGTGCTCAATGAAATTGTATAAATTATAGGCCTATAAATATTTGAAAATAGCGACTTTGTTCTAAATGTTATGAGGATTACAAATATATAATAGGTAATATAAGGAAGTAGATTAGCAAATAAATAAGTTATGGGCAAAAAACAGATTTCAGTACATAGCGTTTAGCTAAGAATGCATAGCCTAACCATAGCTAGGAATCTGGCTGATAAATTTACATCAATATCACTACCTACTTCTTCAGGATCATCAACCAGCTCTTCAAAATCACTTAAATCTTCTTATAATGCACCACGTATATCACTACTTTTGATTTTTAACACTAAAACAATAATAAAACACATCAGTCATCGGTCCGAGGTTAACTAACCTGTTTACAAATACGCACGTCAGCTGTCTGCTACAATTACGATCGGCTCGGAGAACATAAAGCGCTTAGAGACAGACCTCTGGAGAAAGCTTAGAATATAATGAAAAGAACGATACCAAACTCAATCCAGTTCAATCCGATTTTGTCAGTCATAGAGCCTTCGCCGTAAACAGTGTTCGTGAGTCGCTGCAGCGACGCATGACACTCGGAGGGTTAAGAGCCTCCTTCCGTAGGCTCTAAAAATCCCTATAAATTCATCACTATAAATCCCCCCACAAACGCCATTTTGAAACTTACAATCGGAACAACTTTATTACGTTACATATTTTTACTATTATACTTAGGTAGGTCTTAATATGTTAACATGTTCACCAAATTTCATAATTGTCCTATAAATAACTTGATAGATAACAAACAATATTTTTGAATAAAAAACAAAATGGCGAATATCTGGGTTAATATGCATTTTCGGACATACCTTCCGACAAACTTTTTTCTTCCTTTTAGTATGGGGATTCATTTCCCAAATACTGAAGTTTTTTAAGGACACCCTGTATAATAGGTATATATATGAATCTGAACGGATGGTGTTTTTGGCATCTAGGGACCTCAAAACGAAAAAGTAAATCGGTCCCTGGTCCAGCTCTTACCATGAGTACTACGGTAATAGCTTATTCCCTATATGGGAAATTCGCTAAAAATACAGGACTGTAAGTTATACAAGTTAAGAGAGCCCTAAGTATGTTAATGTAAGGCATGTTCAGAGACCTATAGGTGCCTTATAGGCCTAGGCCTAAGTTGACATTGATAGGAACAAGTACCGTAAGTCTAAGTTTAGTTAACACAAACTTGTAAGTAGCCCAAGTTGCTTAGATATCAAAAACCCTACCAGTAACTAAAAGTTAAACTTGAAGCAGGCCTACTGAAGTTAGCTACATAAGGCCCTAAGATTAAGCCGCGTTAAACACGTTCACTGCTACATTACGGACGTTCCAGAACGTTAGCCGGGCCACGGCACCAGGAACGTCACCATTCATAGGTGTTAATTTCCATGGATCAGCCAGCTTGTCACGAGCGTCCTAGCCTATCTTATTTCTTTGCAACGTAACTTACTTTTCTGACAATGGAAAATAAGTATGGTTTCGCAAAATCACCACCAGGGTCGTTTAGAACAGAGCTTTGTCCCACCTCATTCCTGCTAGATACCGGTAGCGACACTACTTAACCGAATGCCACATAGGTAGATTTCATTTGAAATGATTAGGCTAAGTAAGGCCAAGATCATTTTGTACCACCGTTTCCGAGGACTTGAGGTCGGAAACTCCCAAAATGTTTCTTTTCAAAAAGTAAGCAAGTTAATTTGTTTCTTGGTTTGACAAGAGTCAGGACCATTTATTGTCAACACGTGTTCCAAACTCCGGTGTAGACGCGACTTTAGCAAACAACTGGCCTAAGCTTAAGTTAGGCCTAGCCCCAACTGCCACCACCCAAGCACAGAAAGTACGCAAAAAATGCAAAATTTATCAAAGTTCACAGCTTAAAACACATAACAAAAGTAAGTGTGGGCATAGGCTTAGGTCTAATAGTTTCTAAATATATCGAACCACGAACGGACCCGTACGACAAAGCCTAGCACGAGGCACGCCATGACGCCATGATGAGTGATGAACATGAACAACCGTCAAAGAGTTAAATTTTAAAGAAAAATCAAAGATTCCAGCAATTTGTAAATCAAATTGAATTAGCGTGGATTAAGATATGATTTGTGGACCCATCTGACAATGATTGAAGTAAATAATTACCTTAAAATATCACAATGATTCCAAGCATTACTGCGACGTGTTGTCCGTTCTTCCCTCAAAGCAACTATGACGCAGAGCGGGAGAGATCGGGCGGCGTCGGTTGCTCAACCCAAGAACTTCCAACACCTCGAAAACGGAAATTTTCTGCCGATTTCGGTTTCTTGTCTGCGCAGAAGGGCGATTTGAGGCTTCTGCGCATAGCTCACGCCTCAATCTCTATCCCCACTCAACAGCAGTGTTGCCAAAAAGCGGGTAATTACCCGAAAAGCGGGTAATTTAGTTACCTGGGGGTAATGCTGCGGGTAATGGCAAATAGGCGGGTAAAAAGCGGGTAAATGACAACTGATCAAATATTATTTGTTTTTCGTATTATTACTTTTATATTTCACAAAAAGAAAAATATTTCCTTGTGTTTTTTTTTCATTAAAGTAATTTCATAGACTTTTTATTGTGTTACACTACTTCTCTTAACCTTCATCAGTTTGGTTCAGTTCTCACTCAGTCACTAGTAGGCTACAGCGTTCAGTCGGTTCGTTCGGTTCAGTTTCAGTTTCAGTCAATTCTAGTAATCGTGGTCAGTACGGTTGTTTCACTGAGCTATAATTCTAACTGGAGGTAGCACTGAATGTCAAAGATGCGTGTCGCCAGCCGCCATGTTTGCGTGAGGTGGGTGTCCATAAGAAGCCATGTTATTGCTATGACAAAAAAAACTCACTGCTATACAACCTAGTTATAAGAAGCCATGTTATTGCTATGGTAAGAAAACTTACTGCTATACCAACCTAACAAAATCAGCGACTCGCTTTTGACAGACTTCTGCCATGGCAGTGCTACCTCCAGTTATAATTTTAGCTCAGTGGGTTGTTTGTAGTCTTTTCTTTTGGATTGGAGTGGAAAAACTTTTGGTAGCCTGGCCTTAATTTAATGCCTGAAACCATGGTGGAAGGAAAATACCGTACTAGTCTAGTCTCTAGTCTACACTTCTAAAGAGGATGAAAAACATAAAACAGGGGAATAATAATATTTATTGGTTATAATAACTATATTTTCTCCCTAAAACTAATAAAAAATTTAATGTTTAACAGTACTTACTCATTACTTAATAATTATAAAATCATTGTTAACCCAGGCGAGTGTGTTAAAAGGGAATTTTTGGTTTGTTGAGGGTAATTTTGAGAAAAAGCGGGTAATTCTTTGCTCTGGAGGGGGTAATTGGGCCATATTGGATTGGCAACACTGCTCAACAGCAATGTGGCGGTCGTATGCCTACATTTCTCCGTCCAATATTGCTTTGTTGCTTTTTGTCAAAATCATAATCATATAAGTTAACATTAACTTTCTACTTGCACAAATGCTAATATATAATTATTATGAATGTTTATTAGACAATAACACATTAATTAAATCACCACGAATAATTATGCTGGTACCGGCCCTTTGCGAAATAACTCTTTATTAAGCCGCGTTTACACCGGAGTTTGAAACACGAGTTGCAAACAGAAATTGCAAACATTTTTAAAAACGCACATTTTTAGACGAAACATTTCGCTGTTGCAAACAGTTTTTCAGTGTTTGCAACAGAAATTTTTGTTTCCACTTGAAGTCGGTAAAGATCAAAGGGAGTTGCAAACTCTTTGTTTGCAACACTAGTTTCGGTCACTATGAGCGGTTGAAACACGAAACAGAAACATTTCTCCGCCATCCCCTACGCTGCCACATCCACTCTCACTCACGTGATCACTGCGACCCTGTGTCTCGACTCAGTGTTAAATTATTCGGAAAAATGCTGTTTGACTGTCAATGAATTAACACTAATCTCAAATGACAAGGTCGTCTAATTTAAATATAACAATAACGTCTCATGTGAATTAAAAGGGTTATAATTAAGTCCTTGTAATCTTTAAAAATTAAAAATAATTTTAATTTGATGATTTATACAATCACCGATGTTCACCCAGCATCGTCTCGGCCTACGTTGCTTTGACAACACGACACACGCCGCCGCGGCTAAAATAACATCCTCAGAAGGACTGATCCAAGGAACCAGAACGAGGAAAGTCATAATCAAGGTCAAAATTATTTCAAACAATTTCATGAAACATGGAAACAAATCATTAAATAAAAATTGCAAACATTTATTTGAAACTACTGTTTGCAACTGCAGTTTGCAATAAAAGTTTGCAACTTTTTGTTTGAAACTCCGGTGTAAACGCGGCTTTAGACTCCTCATTACCAAGCCTATCTTTACAGTAGTTATATCGTGTCCATTTTTGCTTTGTTAGCTTAGCTTACGCTGGAGCACCTAATTACCGAATTCATTATGCTATTTAAAGGTTGTTTTAAGGAGATGTCTTTAGTTCTAGCCTAATATAATTAACATTTGTCTTAATAATTCCATAAAATCCAGAATCCAGGGCAAAGGTTTGGGCCAAATTCCCCAAAAGAGAATTTTAATCGGTCAAAATTTTCAAAGATTTGATTTTAGCTTCAAGGCCCACTAGAAAAACTGCTAACTTGTTAGTCTACATTTCCGATTTCACACTCTTATTATTGGCTCATTGGCTGACAAAACACACATCTTTACACCTGAAGTTTCCATCCGTAATAAGTAATCTACTACAACAGTAGGTAACTTGCCTATTCTACTATTCCAGAGTTAACTTACTCAAATAGGATTTAGCAACTTTAGGTGGTACTGGTAATGGTAAAGACATATTCGCCACTATGGCCGATTTTAACTCATTAACTTGAATAAGCTATTTTCTATCTAAGTTTATACAGTCGAGTAATGGAAAGTCTTATTCATAAAATATTCATAAAGCTTCCAAGCTTATTTCGTCCCTTTGAATTTGTCTTTGGACTTTTGGGGAAGGAATTCTAAGGAGCTTTGTTGTAGCCTTGTTTTAGCTTATTTCCAAGCAGAGAGCTGCTGTATTACGTCGCTGGTCTTGGTAAGATCTAGACCTGGGGCCAATTTAACTTTTTCATTTTGATGTCCTTAGCGAGTCCTAGAGTAGAGGCCATAAAAAACCCGTTCGTTTAATTTGTGTTTTAGCCTATACTTAGAGCAGAGCTTGACCAAAGTATGTATTTTCACCCCACGCTGTAAATAAAACATGTGATTGGAATTTCTTCCATTTGTTTTTATTTTGTTCTTATTTTGTCACCAACATGGTAACCCATAAGGCCCATGCATGTTATTTTTTCATTCATGTTTTGTCCTTATATTTTTGAGTCTTTTTTAATAGGGGTTCTGCACATCTACAGGAAAATGTCTTTCATTTGGTACCAACCGCGTGTAGGCTAATTCGGTCCAGTAGTAAGTTTAACTTATGGCCAGGCTGGCTGTGGTAAGTTTTATACAAGTTTTTAGTATGTGTCCGTTTAGATAACTTGATAAAAATCCTCCGATTTTGATAAAGTTTTAGTTCGTGTAAACCTAAATTCATTTGAACGAGTTCGTGAACCAGCATGATCGGACCATGGGAACGGGGTTTACTGGGGGGTTTATGGGGTAAAAATAGTTATTTTTCGTTTCTGACTCTCAAAACATAACATTTCCCAATTTTTCTATAGAATTCTCAACAATTGGGACCCCTACGTCAATAGACGATTCAGCTATAACTGCATATTTCTATTCTATCTATTTCAGTTTTTACATAAATAAGGAAGCAAGCTTTGAAAAAACACCCTGTATACAGTAGTAATTTGTAGGACATTTCATTCCCTTTCAGAATATCACCTTCCACTTTGGTCGATATTCTCGACAAAAGAGTTTTAATCGACCTTGGAATGTTTAGTGGTGAGAAAATACTAAATTAGAGATTCTTTTGTACAATCATTGTACCACAGACAATATAATACTTTATTGTACAATCTACAGTTCTAAACTGGATCGATTTTGTTAATTTGTCTTTGGAAAGCATTGTGGTGTTCGTGTAGATTTGCAAATTATCATGGGAGTTTGACTTTATCAAATATTTGTGGTAAAAAAAGTAAAAACACGAGAATACATTAACAATTCATTTTTTCAGTTTTTATACGTAGCCAAGTTTAGCCTGCCTTAGCTTAGTTTAAAGGCTGCCTAATTGAGTATTTTAAAGAAATGCATAATAGTTATTATAGGAAGTTTTATTCTCTTGCAGTGAAAGACTTGGGTCAATTTCCTCAGCATTTAAAGTTAGTTGCAAAAAACTCTAAGCAACCGACTCCGAATTTAGTGAAAAAATGCTGAGATAGAATTTTTTTTTATGTATGGTAATGTACAGATCTACTGGATCGGTTTTGTTAATTTATGGGTTGTTGGAAATAATAATTCGTGTAGATTTGCAAATAATTTGAAAAGTTTGATTTTAAAAGACTAGCTGTACCCGCGGGCTTTGTCCCGTTTAACTTCTTAATTTTCAAGATGAGCTCGTTCGCATGGCTTGATCACGTCCTGGTTGAAGTATCTATGAGCGTCCTTGTATCTATGGTAGTATGTAGTACAAGACCATTGAATGATAGTCTCGACAGTGAAAGTTGTTTAGAATAAGCGTTCAGACTAGGTCAAGGATGGCAGTTGCAGTTACATAACACAACGTGTTCCGACCCGTTCCGAACCTTTGACTAGGTATAAAAAAATAGATGCAGTTACATAACACAACGTGTTCCGACCCGTTCCGAACCTTTGACTAGGTAGGCCTAGATGCAGTTACATAACACAACGTGTTCCGACCCGTTCCGAACCTTTGACTAGGTAGATGCAGTTACATAACACAACGTGTTCCGACCCGTTCCGAACCTTTGACTAGGTAGATGCAGTTACATAACACGTTTTCCGAGCTGTTTCGACCCTCCGAACTCCGAGCTGTTCCGAACCTCCGAACTTCGAGCTGTTCCGAACCTCCGAACTCCGAGCTGTTCCGAACCTCCGAACTCCGAGCTGTTCCGATCCTCCGAACTCTGAGCTGTTCCGAACCTCCGAACCCCGAGCTGTTTCGACCCTCCGAACTCCGAGCTGTTTCCACCCTCCGAACTCCGAGCTGTTTCGACCCTCCGAACCCCGAGCTGTTTCGACCTCCGAACCCCGAGCTGTTTCGACCCTCCGAACACCGAGCTGTTTCGACCTCCGAATACCGAGCTGTTTCGACCCTCCGAACCCCGAGCTGTTTCGACCCTCCGAACCCCGAGCTGTTTCGACCCTCCGAACTCCGAGCTGTTTCGACCCTCCGAACTCCGAGCTGTTTCGACCTCCGAATCCCGAGCTGTTTCGACCCTCCGAACTCCGAGCTGTTTCGACCCTCCGAACTCCGAGCTGTTTCGACCTCCGAATCCCGAGCTGTTTCGACCCTCCGAACCCCGAGCTGTTTCGACCCTCCGAATCCCGAGCTGTTTCGACCTCCGAACTCCGAGCTGTTTCGACCCTCCGAACTCCGAGCTGTTTCGACCTCCGAACCCCGAGCTGTTTCGACCCTCCGAACCCCGAGCTGTTTCGACCTCCGAACCCCGAACTGTTTCGACCCTCCGAACTCCGAGCTGTTTCGACCTCCGAATCCCGAGCTGTTTCGACCCTCCGAACTCCGAGCTGTTTCGACCCTCCGAACTCCGAGCTGTTTCGACCTCCGAATCCCGAGCTGTTTCGACCCTCCGAACCCCGAGCTGTTTCGACCCTCCGAACCCCGAGCTGTTTCGACCCTCCCAACCCCGAGCTGTTTCGACCTCCGAACTCCGAGCTGTTTCGACCCTCCGAACTCCGAGCTGTTTCGACCCTCCGAACTCCGAGCTGTTTCGACCCTCCGAACCCCGAGCTGTTTCGACCCTCCGAACTCCGAGCTGTTTCTGAACCTACGAACCCCGACCAGACCAAGCCTGCGATAAGCCGTGCGATAATCTGTGGGCTTCGGAAAATGTTCGTTTATATTCATAATTTGTTAGTGAGTGTTTGATGTTAAATCTCAGCTAATGAGTTTTAGTCATGTGGAAGGTTATAGAGTTCATTGGGTTTTAACTATCTACTAGTGTTCATGTTGCTCGAATTCGAGCAATTGTAAAGTAAGTATTACATGATTTGCAAACGAATAACAATCATACTAAGCTATCGACATTTCAACAAAACACACCTACCTTCTCTGTAGCAGCAAACCTAGGTACTCATAATAAAATTAACCTAATGTTATTTAAATAGGAAAAAATTACACTTTTCAGGGAATACCTTTGTAGAAATTAAGCCAGGTGAATGGAAATTCGCTTAGTCTGAAGGTTTGCTGCGGATACACAATTTTAATAACAGCAATGATTGTAGAATCTAAATTATTACTTATATCCATGAATTTATATAACAATTATTTCCTGTAAAATATTATTACAGCAGCTCAAAAATATTGGACAGACTCGGTCAACAAATGACATAACTGAAAGAATCCAATACTAATGACATTAACATATAGTTTGACAGTTCCATTTAATCAATGTTAAATGTTTACATTCGGGCGAGTGACATATTTTATTTATGTCTATGATCAATACCGTTCCTGTTCTAATAATCATGCAGTATTTAATATATTTGTACCAGCTGTGTGGAATTATGAAATCAAAATTAATTTGACAGTTAGTTCTGCTTGTTTACATTTTTAAATTTTGTGGGTTTGTTCTTTGTTACCATGGGTACCATCAATAAATGTCTCACTTTTAATTTCTGACAACAGCTGGAGTTCCATAACAAATTTTGTTTCCCATGTTAATCTTATGGATAAATATGAAACTTTAAAGGGCCCCAGGGCCTCACTCTCTAATTATTTCCCTAAAAAAAAGTTTCCTGCACAACTTCACGTTACGCTCTTTCCAATGACACCAAAAACATGTCAATCGGTTCAGTAGTTTCGGAGGAGTAATTGTCACAAAAAACCTGCTTGCGTATTAAATAAGTACGAGAGCACGCCCCGTGGTCGAAAAATCGACCAAAAGTATGTTTTGTGCAAACTTCTCTATTTTCACCCCACACTGTAAATAAAACATGTGATTGGAATGTCTTCCATTTGTTTTGATTTTCTGTTTATATTTTGTTGTTATTTCGTCATCACCATAGCAACTCATGAGACCCATGTTAATTTTTTTAAATTTCAAATTCATTTTTTGTGCTTATTTTTGAGCCTATTTTAATTTATAAAGGGATTCTGCACACCTACAGGAAAATAGCTTTCTAACGGTATGCGTAGATTTTCCCTACGATACACACGAGCTGAGAAAAAAGGTTTTAAAGAAACATGCTTGCCTATTAATATATAGATAGATAGATATATTTATAAAAGAGGAACTATGTATATATATATATGTGTGTATGGACTCTGAAACCACTTGACAGATTGTAATGAAACTTTCAGACTTTATTAAGCATTATTCAAGGATCGTTTGAGTGAAGTTTGGAGCAGATTCGTCAAAAGGGCTTTCCCCCAGAGGGTTTTAAGTGGGCCAATGTCAGACCTTTAGAACTACAATGTTTACAAATAAATATAATTTAAAAGTAGACAATGTCTCAAAAATAACTCTTTGTAGATGGATTATATGTGTAAGATAGTGTAGTCATGTAATATGTGTCGCCTCGGACCGTTGCACTGTTGCATAATCATAATCATTACATAATCATCGTCAGTTGTAACTTTCACTTGCATTTATCGCTGTGACTCCGCTGTAATGCTACAGAGACTGTTAATTACAGTATGTCTGGTTGAAAATGGACTCTGCAGAGAAAAATCTTTACCTAGATATACTACAAAAATAGTGTTTAAGATGTCTACTTACTTTTACAAGATTCGGGTTTTCTGTGTAAGATTAACATGGAGGAATATTTATTTAATAAGATACTTTGTCTTCACTATTTTGAGAGATCCGCTGGTTGCAGAAACTTATTAGAGGTAATCAAATGAAGAATACAGACTACCACTACAAATGCAATTTTAAATTATAATGTTATTTTGATATGAGTATGTAACAAGTTCTTATTAAATATAGCTAGGTATATATAATAAAGAAACATAACATAGCATAAGAAATTTAAAGTGCATAGTGTTTCTATTTAAAATTGAAATAAACTACGATCTATATTTCATATTAAATTATTATCTTAGGTATTTGTTTAATTATTTATTTATTATTATTTTATTTATATAGCAAGTGTATAATGAAATACATTATACAAGTAAACATTATTTAAAAACATTGAAATATTTGTGCACAAACAATGTGAACCTTGAACCCACGTTAAATAATATTTAAAATAACTTTTTTTAAGTTATAAAAGATTGTTATTTGTATAAATAACACACAATAAATGTTAGTTACCTTAAACTATATAAAGACTCTCAAAACCCCGATGTCACTGAGCTGGAAGGCAATGAACTTTGGGGGGATGTGCCGATATCAGCAGCACTGTGCAGCAATTATATGTCGCCACCTATCGGACGAACCCCAAGGCCATGTTTTACATTTTTAACCATATGCATTCGTAATAATAGATTTTTGTTATTTTATTGTAAATGGTTATTCCGTATAGAATAAATAAATAAATCTAAATTTTCATTGGGTTTTGTCTGAATTTATATTTATTATATTTTTTTCTAAATTTAAGTTTATCTGTCTGCATTATTTTGAGATTGTGTTAACAAGGAAACTTTTACCACCACAGACAACGAAATGTCTGGTTATTATATTGTATCGTTGCTTTTAAATGCAATTTTAACTTGCAGTGTATCTTTCCTTCAGCTTTGGAAACACATTGTTTCAATATGTCAATCGTCAAATTTTCTTTCAAAGAACTAACTAAAAGAAGAAACTAAAAAAACTAACTTTTAGCTATGCAGATTAATTATTTTTGTGTTCAAATTATGACTTACATATTTTGTATTTTATATAGATTCATTTCACATAATTTCACTAATGTTTTCCTGAATCGAGAAGAAAAGTATAGAAACAACAGATCAGAAAAGGCAGTTGCTTTTCAATTCAACACTAGATCCAGATGTCTTGAACAATAAGCAAAATCAATTCACTTGTTAAAGAAACAGCTGGTCCTTGGTCCAACAATGCTCAAGGTCATCTTACTTTATTCTACACTCACCGAAGTACATATTCAAGTTAAAATGTGAAGCAAGTTCCTTCCTCAATTGTACCTTTAACCAATAATTACTGATATCATTTCAAGGTTACCTCGACCTTCTGACCTTGTTGATAATAGAGCAAAACATGGATTTAATACTTTAATCAATTCACTGTACCCCCTTTATCCACCTTTATTCGGATAGTTGATGCATTTTTTAGCTCTTTCTTTTTTTCCCACTAAACCAATTTTTTATTATTTAAATACAGCATTTAATAATAATTCTTCTAAAATGTAATGTGTATATAAACTCATTTTAATTTTATATTTGATACAACTTAAACAATTTTTGTTTTAGACTGAATTCAAATGGTTGTAAAAATTTAATGTTTTAACAACAATTATTAATAAAAATACTTTACACATATTAACTTAGAGTAAATCGTCATTCTTTTTGAACGATTGAAATTTACCTTAAAATAGAATTCAAATGACAAACTCAAAGATTTATAAAGAGATTTTGAGCACTTAACTTCATGATTGCTTTTTATGTATCAGTCTCATAGATAGATAGGTATGCTTAACCTTTAACATATAAATTCTAACACTAAAGGTAATATGGATATCCAATAACAACATTCAAAAGTAAAAAAAGGTTTTTATTAAATTAAAAATACAAATTACAGGTAATTGAAAACAAATATTAAATGCAAATTTGTATACACAGTTTGGTCCTTTAAAGTGCACACATGAAATGTATTGATTTTTATGTTATGACATGGCTTACTACAACCACTACAACCCAACGCTACAACCACAAGTGTATATGGAAGTTTGAAGAAAATATAATAATATAGGTAGTAAAAAATAATAATAATATAACAACAATAATAATAGTAATAGTAAATAATTAATTACTACAATCATAAATGACTATATACAAACTAGCAGAGGTGCTCAGAGGAGGAGGGGGGATTTTATTTTTGTTTAAATATATTAATTGTTTTATGAGTACGCCTTGATTGTATTTTTTTTTTTTTTTAATGCATACATCTTATTTACCCTTGGACCCACACAATTAAAATTTGCGAACCTGACCTTAGGGGGATGAACACCTCTGATAACTAGACTTTGAAGAAAATACAATGCTCACTAAAACCACATTTTGTTATTTCGGCATTGCATGTCAGCACTAGTGAGTGGTAGCGAATGTTGTAGGAAGAAAGCTTTCTTCTTATAAAATACAATGCTCACTTAAACCACGTTTCTTATTTCGGCATTGCATGTCAGCACTAGTGAGTGGTAGCGAATGTTGTAGGAAGAAAGCTTTCTTCTTATAAAATACAATGCTCACTTAAACCACGTTTCTTATTTCGGCATTGCATGTCAGCACTAGTGAGTGGTAAGCGAATGTTGTAGGAAGAAAGCTTTCTTCTCATAAAATACAATGCTCACTTAAACCACATTTGTTATTTCGGCATTGCATGTCAGCACTAGTGAGTGGTAAGCGAATGTTGTAGGAAGAAAGCTTTCTTCTCATAAAATACAATGCTCACTTAAACCACGTTTCTTATTTCGGCATTGCATGTCAGCACTAGTGAGTGGTAGCGAATGTTGTAGGAAGAAAGCTTTCTTCTCATAAAATACAATGCTCACTTAAACCACGTTTCTTATTTCGGCATTGCATGTCAGCACAGTGAGTGGTAGTCAATCTCAACTACGATATTTCGATCATTTGTCATCTCTAGTGAAGTCTGCTCTTCAGTTAAGTCTAGCGAAGCTCATCTTCTGAGAGACGATTTATTTCTGGCACACTCTGCAACAGACACACATAGGTTATAGTAATTGTGATCACAACATACATAAATTAACTTTTTTGTAGAAGCCATGTTCTTGCAGGCAGATGACGTACAAAACAGAACTACAAACAAGTTTTAAAAGTTCTCACCGCTGGAAAACAAACAAAAAAAATCAAATAAACTCGTAAAATAGTATTATATAATGCTTTATATCAAAAGTATATTGATGATTGTGATTGGACATTTTCTATTTAAAGCTAGTAAATATGTTCAACTGTGAACAGATTTCTTTCCCAACAAAACATTTACGTAAAAAGTGGAGACAGCAATATGAATAATTTTAAAATACTCTGTACTGTAAAGACAGTGGGGTCTCTACTAAATCACTCTTTCTACTGTCAATCCGTTTTCTGTCACCTTAAAAATGTGTATTTCATAACTTTTACTGGGGATGGCCCACTGAGCTAGAAATAAAACTGGAGGTAGCAATGGCAGGGCAACTCTTTTAGAAATTCGACAGACTGTATAATTTTTGATATGCTGGAACCAAATAGAAAAATTAACCAGCTCAAGGCTTCATTACAATCCCATAATCCTCAAGTCAGTCCCTATAGTTTCAAAGTAAGAACGTCTACAATGTACTATGCCCCTAGTACATACGTGGCCATCGTCTCGCAATTCTCTCATTCAATGCTACCTCCTCTTGTATCTCTAGCTCAGTGGGATTGCCCAGTTCTAGCTTATTAAATGAATAATATACTGTAGATAAATTGACATGTTTGTACAGTAAATGGAATAATAGTGTAAGATTGCATTGTGTTATTTCTAGTCTGTCATTTTTGGTCCAACCGTTGACGGATGGATAGTAGAGGTTATCATATTATTTTTTCAAACACTTATAGCATGATCTGTGTGCTGAACTAAAGATGGTGATGAAGTATTGTTGTAGTACAAGTTACATGACCAAGCTAGCCCATTGGTGACCTCTCTGATAAGATAATACATAGTTCTACTCAAACCAGCCATGCCTGGCTTATCAGTAAAAAAGCTACACTAATGAGCTAGCCTATAAACTGCTTTGCAAGGATAACATAATTACACTAAATGTGTTTTTTACACAGCTCAAATAATTAGGTACAACGGTACAACTATAATGTGAGTGTGAGACACTTTCTAACAACAAAACCATCTCATATGATGTTAACCCTGTTTTCTTTACTTCATTGCCAATCAAGTATATGGATAGTTCCAGTTATCAGGTTAAGGCTTAGCGTTATTGATAATTTATTGTAAATAAGATCACAGAAAATATACCACCATGGTCTATTCTCTGTTATAAGATGTAATACAGTTTTTTTGCATGCTCAAATAGAGCTTAAGTAAAAAAACTTCAAAAGTTGGGATTGATTCACAATAAATTTCCAATAACTCACAACAATGCATATCAGCTGATTGGCAATGAAAAAAGAAAACAGGGATAAAAGATTGTCAGCTCATTTTGTAATTAAACAGGGTCCTATTGTACTTGTAATTTGGCCTGCATTTAAAAAAACAACCTGTAAAATTAGATTATTTAACAATAACTTAATTCCCCTTCCCCAAAGCAATCAACCAGCGATTATAACTGTAATATATTGAGCTTAATAAAGTGTAATATTTTAGTAGCAAAGAATATGAATATTATAAAAACTAATTCTTTAAAGCTGCTACTAAAACATTACCAGTACACAATCAATAGTGAATTGTAAATATTGTCTTTAATCATGGGAAATGTTATAAAATTAACAAAAATATCACTTTTAAAAATATCAAATTTAATTTGTTGCATTTTTGAGTCAATTATCAAGGGCAGTGATTTAGCACAAAAATTAAATCTGAATATTTAATTGTATGAATTAAATTGGAATGCGTTCAGTTTATAAGGTACCTAATCATTGAAAATAATAAAACCATCTTCATAGTTAAGTCGTCAAATTGAAATGCATTGTTTATAAATTGTCTTTAAAAAACTACATAGACATAGGTAATGACTATTACTACTATATCGGTAACCGGTAACTCTAATATATAGGCTACATAATAACAAACCTTTATTATTATTTTCTAGTTCAATTCAATTGATAACTATGGCAAAGCTTGGCTAGGGATGGCTACTAAATCATAATACAGAATAATGGAGTGAATTTAGCGTTTCCCTTGTAATACTGAGGCAGCATTAAATTTACCTTGAAACCAAAGTGTAAAACTAAAGCATGCTATTAGTACACGTTGTTAATCATGAAAAACAGCTAACAAGTTTTCTCCCAAGTTATCACAATCATGATGTGTTGTATTACCACCCAGTAGTTAAAGGGATAAAAGTTAGTTAAGGTTGATTTTTTCTAAAAATTGTTTTGTAGGCCCAAATCTTATTAAACGTTTTGAAGTATATGTTACCAACTTTAAGGTGGAGAAAAACAAGAGCACATCCTCTTAAAAACCAATAACCAATCTTGAAGTATACTGTTTAGTGTTTAATCACATGCATGGTATAATCTGTCATCACAAGCAAATATATAAAGAAAATTGTTGAACTTACTCGAATTCTGAGGCGTATGGGATTTTCATCCTGGACATGATTATCTTCTTGAACACCAACAATTATGTTTATGTTTAGCTCAATGTGTGGAGGTGAAGCAGCAACTTGGTTGTGAGGAGGTAAATCAATATCTTCAGGCTCCTCTTGATGGTCAGCAGGGGAATGTATTGGTGATATCATGAGCCATTCTTTTGAAAATTCTGTTGCCATGGACAAAATCTCGCTATGAGTGGGCGAAGGAACAGGAGGTAAGCCACCAATGAAGTCTATGTTACTGTGCGATCTGGGGATTGATGATGGGTTAGGACTATTCCTGATTGGTGAATGGGGATCTCCATAATCTACAGGAGACCCACCATAACCACGGGAGATTGCACGTGGAGGCTCGAAAGACACATTTATAGTGCGATGACCCCAAGGATTAACCAATTGACTTCTCCTGCGTTCTTCAAAGTTACGCTGAATCTTTCTCTGCTCCCAAACCTCCAGGTCGGAAGGGACTGATGATATTTCAATATTATCTTCTGCACATGGACTATTCAAAATTTGAGAATGGGAATCCACAATAGATAGGGAATTCGCCTGTATAGTTGGATTTATAGATGGTAGTAGTTTAGAGTTATCTTCAGGAAACACAACATTACCGGTACCAGTGGAGATTTGACTTGGTGGCTCGAATGACATATTTCTAGCACCATGCCCGCACGCATCAACAGATTGTCTTCTCTTGAGCTGTTCGAGGTTACGCTGTATCTTTCTCTGCTCCCAAACTTGCGGGTCAGATGGTGTTGTTGATATTTCAATATTATCATCTGCACATGGACTATTCAAAATTTGAGAATGGGAATCCACAATAGATGCCGGGGAATTTGTCTGTACAGTTGGATTCAAAGATGGTAGCGTAGAGTTATGAACGTCTTCGGGAAACAAATCACTAGTGGAGATTTGACTTGGTGGCCCGAATGGCACATTTCTACCACTATGCCGTGGGGATGAATCAACAGATTGTCTTCTCCCTTGTTGTTCGAGGTCATGTTGTCTCTTTTTCTGCTTCCGACCTTCCGGGATGGATGGGCTAGAAGGATGGATTTCCATATTTTCTTCAGGACAGGGACTATTCCACATTGGTGAATGAGAATCCACAATAGATGCCGGGGAATTTGTCTGTACAGTTGGATTCATAAATGCCAGCATAAAGTTATAAAACCCCAATGGAAACACAATATCACACACAGAGATTCGACGAGGGGACCCAAATATCACATTTCTAGTACGATGACGCCACGGATCAACAGATTGTCTTCTCCTGCGTCGTTCGAGGTCACGCTGCCTCATTCTCATATTTGAAGAAAAAACTTGTCACTACAAACCTAATGCACTATCAACAGGGTAGTTGGCTTATAAAGTCCACAACTAGTTTAGCACTGTAACTGTTGGTAGTTCACAACTTCTTGAAGAAAAAAAGACTTGCTACTTCAAACCTTGTGTGTAACTATCTATCTATTTTCACTATAGTCAGAGTAGTTGGTAAATGCCACAACTAGTTAAGCATTGTAACTGTTCGTAGTTCACAACTAATGATGTGTCACTGTGAATAGAGTAGTTGGCTTATAAATGTCACAACTAGTTAGGCACTGTAACTTTTGGTAGTTCACAACTTCTTAAAGAAAGGGCTTGATACTTCAAACATTGATGTCCTTGATGTTCTTGATGTCCTTGATGACCTTGATGTGTACCTTGGGCTTGATGTCGGATGTTCAAGACGTAGTTGGTTTGTAAACTTCGCTGTAGGATCAGTCTATCGACGGATGACAGATTGGCTCCCAAAGCAGCAACCTGAAACAAATGAAAGGTCTGTGAAATCATTACAGTTCCATCTTTTAACTTAGATGTGTCAGAAAATATATTTAAACTATCATTTAACTAAAGAGTACAATCCATCATGCAAATACACAGGTTAAATCCGGTTATAAATTGAGGTCTTCATCAATCTCCCATTGCAGTCAAGCAAGAGTACAAATCTACGACCATCATTGGATGCATACTGCACTGTGGGTGCGATACTCCCTGGTGTGGATTAACGTCCACACGAGTGAGTACCGGTACTATGACTATTCGCAGTACTATCCTGATAATTAGACCAATTAGTATATACCAAAGGTAAAAATGTGGTTTGAATTCCACTATAAACTGTAGGTCCCTTAGTCGCCATTAGCTGTATGGGCTATTAATCAACAGCTGTGTCTAAGGAATATGTCGGCCTTAGTCACTAACAGGATTACAAGATCGCGCCACTCATCCTACACTCATCTCCATTCATACTTGGCTTAAAATACCTACTTTGTATGGTCGCCATTTCATTGAAAAGTATTAAAAAGTATTAAAGTATTAAAGTATTGTGTTCCTTACTTCATCAACTATTATTGTAGTAGTACCAAAACATAACAACATTTTATAGTAATAACAAAATTTTGCACATTAAATTTGACCCACATTAAATGTTGCTATTTCTGTTAAAAGCATATTGTAAAATATAAAAAAATCATATACTGTTGTAATTAGAAAATAAGCCTTGTTGTACACTTAATAGTAGAAAATCCCCAACAAAATTGTATCCAATATTCTAAACTTTTATTCCTGTTAATCTTGTAAAGAATAAAACAAACTAGCAAACTGTTGTTGTACTTAGCTTGTTTTGGGATATATTTTTATCAAATGTCATGCTAAGATATTAACTTAAATAAATTTTTTTTTAACTAGTTGCTTTGCCTGTGCTTGTTACGGGGTCAGACCCAAGAGAATAGCATGGTGTTTAAAAATCTACTATTAAAGAAACATCTGTTACAATACACATAATAAAAAGAGATCATAGAAAATGACGGATCTTATTATTAGTAGTATCAATAAGATGTGTACCGGTAGCAGAATCAACCAAATACTGTAATTTGTTTCTAATACAAATATGTCAACATATTATGGACAATCTATAAGAATCATAAGGTTAACTAAGGGGAAAAGTAAACAAACAAATATTAATAAAAACAAATGTAACAGCACCCTAATTCAAATCAAAACAACCCTTTAATTAACAAGTGCCTTTAGGAGAGGGCTTATCGAAAAACTAATATTTTTTCAGGAAGTTTCACATTAAGACCTTTCATTCAAGTATGCAGTTGATGGGTGTACGCTTACAGTTTTGCATCAATCCTTGTATTTTAAATGAGAAATGGGCTAAATCTGACATTTGAGAAAATATTTGAGTAAACATCAAATATCAGGCATAGTGGCAAGTGGTAAATTCGCTTAGTCTGCAAGTTTGCTGAGAGGGGAGTATTTTATCCTTTCTCCTTTGATTCTAGCTAACACAATTGACTGAAAAAGTGTCTTACACCTTGGCCTACTCGCCTACACCAGCTGATAGTCTGATGACGTCATAGCACTCTCCGCAGCAGCTTGAGCTGGTTGAGCATATACATTTTTCCATTATTAAGGGGAATGCTATTTTGGGTATTTGAAGGAGTTGGGATTAGAGGAAGTTTGAAACTGTCGACTTAAAGGCTTATTTTCAAATTAAGCTGACATCTACTCTTATTTATAAACTAATAAGTAAAAAAGTGTTTAATATTCTGAGTAACTATGGGGAATCTCTTTTGGAGTTGTGCATCTGTTTCAACGGAAAAAGTTGGTTCTATGATTTGCAAAAGCATTAAAAAGTTATAATATTTACCAACAGGGTGCAGCACTATTATTTTTTTGCATATTTATGAAAACAGCTAATTTGAACTGAGCAGCAGCAAAAAACTCTGATATGCGATGAGAACTGTCAAAGTAGGATTGTTTACAGTTATGTTTATTTTTTTATTTCATGAATAATTAGTGATATTTAGAAATTTTTTTATAATTTGTTTTTATCTATTTTTTAGGTGAAGTGGTAGAACATTATGACTATTGTAGATGTGCCATACTATACTATACTGTAAATTTAAAGAAGCAAATTTTATCAAACTGTGTACGCCCCATTGCAAACGCAAAGCTTGAGTATAACTGGAATAATCATTTTAGCGAATTTCCCATATAGGGAATAAGCTATTACCGTAGTACTCATGGTAAGACCTGGACGCGGGACCGATTTGTTTTTTCGTTTTGAGGTCCCTAGAGGCCAAAAACACCATCCGTTCAAATTCATATATATATATATATGTGTGTCCGTTAGCACGATAACTCGAGCAAAAATGATCCGATTTTGATGAAATTTGGTACAAACGTGTAAACCTACGTTTATTCGAACGAGTTCGCGATCCAGCATGATCGGACCATGGGAACGGGGGTTTACGGGGGGTTTTATGGGGTAAAAATAGGTTTTTCCCATTTTTGACCAAAAAAACATAAAATTTAGCAATTTCTTTCCAAACCATTTTGTAGAGCTTAAAAAAACAAATAATTTAGTATATTGAAGCGTTATTATGCACCTAATGGTTACGGAGAAAATTCAAAAAAATTGTAAATTTAAAATTCCCATGTTATGGAGAATAAGTAAACTGTTGTAGTTTGCTTGTTTATGAACATATTTTGATCAAGTTTGGAAAACGTTTTTATTTCTTACTAACTATTAACATTTTACAAAAAAACAGTTTTACCCTCCCTGATGCAGCAAACCTAAGTACTTGTTAAACTAATTCTATTTAAATTGGGAATAAATGTTATATTTTTAAGTAGACATTTCAGTGTAAATCAAATCAGTCAAATGGAAATTCGCTTAGTCTGCAGGTTTGCTGCGGCGGGGGTATTGTTATACTTGTATGCCAACCCCGTACGAAGGACGGGTATGCCTTTTAGTATTATATAGGTACCGAAATGTTCGTCTAGGTGTGTAGATTTGCAAACTGACCTTAAATTTTTCAAGTCCCTAGTCGGGCGGCTCGATTGTAGGAGTTTTGTCAACGGGTATCATGTAGAAAGGGTCCCCATTCGCGCATTCCTCATAAATCATACTGCGGAGTTTTTGCCATCGGTTGTGGGTGGTTGGGGGTGGGCGCGAGAGGGGGAGAGGTTACACGTGACCGTGTGGGTGGCTTCCGCTAGGGGTGGACAAACCAGGCAGGATGCTGACTGTGTTTAAAGGAATGCAGTTATGCACCTCTGACTGTAAATGAATTGAATTTTTGAGCCAGGAAGCGCACTTGACACACTGTTTCTTGCGGAAAGGCCGTGTGATTGTTAAGTGTATAAAATTAAAACGTACATATCCCGTAATGACATCTTCCAGGATACCCTATTTAAAATGTCTGTTTTAATATTTACATACATTCAAATGGTTAGATTTAGAAAACTAAACAACCATAGTAGCTGCTCATTTTGACCTTGACCGCATTGCGTAAAATATGTTAAACTGCAATACACATTTAACAGTGGTCACATTAATTAATTTTGTATTAGCTTAAATATAACTGTAACAGAATACAATCATTTAGTTGAATGCAAACTACATTAGTGAAGTTTTAGCGAATTTCCCATATACAGTATAGGGAATAAGATATTAAAATAGGCTTTACCTTCGTCGCTGCAGCTCAAATTCTTCTGGTGTAACTATGTTACGGCCGTTTCGGCATTACAATGCCATCGTCAGACTACAAAAACATACTCGGCTGAAGTAGCGAGTTCATGATTATTCATGTGTGTATCATGTGTTAACTATGATCAGCTGTAATTAATACAAATTATTCGTCTGTTTAAGTAAACAAAATCTTTTTCCACAAGAAATGCATTGGGATTTTGATGGCCTGTGGGGCAAAGCCCGATGACTTTTATTACAGGAATTGGTGAAAGGGGGTGTCTACACAAAAAATACTTAATTTTGACGTATCGTTTGTAAAAATCTGTCCATTAGTGTTTCGCGAATTTCCCTGTAGAGAAGTAGCTATTACCATAGGTCTCATGGTAAGACCTAAGCCCGGAACCGATTTACTTTTTCATTTTGATGTCCCCAGAGGTCAAAAACACTATCCATTTTAATTCATATATATATATGTCTGTTAGCACGATAACTCGAACAAAAATGATCCGATTTTGATGAAATTTGGTACAAACATGTAAACCTACGTTTATTCGAACGAGTTCGCGATCCAGCATAATCGGACCATGGGAATGGGGGTTTATGGGGGTTTTTATGGGGTAAAAATGGGCTTTTCCCATTTTGACCCTAAAAACAAAAAAAAATGCGATTTCTTTCTAAACCCTTTTGTAGAGATTTAAAAAATAAATAATTTAGTATATTGAATCGCTGTTGTATGCCTAACGGTCACGGAAAAAATTAAAAAATAGTGTAATTTAAAATTCCATGTTATTCTTATGGAGAAAATGAAAATTGTTGTAGTTTACTTGTTTATGGGTTCGATCCCCGCCAAGTCACCAATGTATTTTATCTAAGTGGTAAGTGATAATGCCACAACCCCTAGGTCTAGCTTGAAGTAATGTGAAAAACAATCCCAGGCTCGTGCCTAGCGTCCTAAAAAAAATTATATATTGATAAAATTTAGCAAATTTATTTATTTCATCCTATACTATTGATATATGGTCAAAAACACTTTTGACCTTCCCCGTAGCAGCAAACCTAAGCACTCGTTAAATATAATGTTATTTAAATAGGGAAAAATATGTCTTATTTATGGAAATATTTTAGTAAAAATGTAATCAGACAAGTTGAAATTCGCTTAGTCTGCAGGTTTTCTGCGGCGGGGGTATTTTTATCTAATCTAAGTCACGTGCGATACAACTGCTAACTTCAGTAGATAGGGGTTTCCAGATTGTTTATAACTGTTTAATGTTATTTGTGTATAAAAACTCCCTTGAAAAATGTTGTCCATTGTGTTTTATGTCAACCTCTTGTCAACACAATAAAAAACATACCTATTTTTAAAAAATGGGTCTAAAATGGCTACTTTTCTGCATGTCGGACTGTTTGTTATTTTTATTTAATTCCACTAAACTATTATTGGAATCAACTTTAAAATCGATCCATGAATGAATTCTAAACTTTTTGTTGACTACCAAATGTATACGTTCAACCAATTCAAAATGGCGATCATGAAGAAATTTCAAATCGGAAAAAGCATAGTTTTACAAAACATCAACTCTTTACTCGTGTATATATGTTTAACACAGTATATGTTCCGTACTTATTTATAATTCTTAATTTTTAATACAAACAAATATTTAAATAGTACATTGCTTATAAGCTACAATGTGGTAACCATATGCTTTATTTCGTTACTAGTGCGGAAAATTGCGTTTTTCTGGCTGGAGATCGTATATAAAAATCTTTATTTCTTTAAAAATTGGGCCTATTTTCTGTAAAAAAGTGAACATCAGTGAGTGACTTTTGCCTTGTACGCGAATTTCTCTGGACATTGCGTCATTTCTTTTCCGTACTTCAAGAAAGAAGACAGTGTTACAAGATTTGAATTTGAATGATTGGGATTCTCAACGATCGCAAAATGGAGAGTAGTGTCGGCGTCGTCAGAATAAGACAGGGTGAAGTGAATAAAAACTAGTACATACTACGTAGTTCTAGCACTTGCTCAAATCTAAGTGAATAAGAATCGGCTAGAACTAGGTAGTAAGTACGGGGTAGCGGATTTTTATCCCCCTGGAATTTTACCCCCTGGGCAAACGTGACGTCACAAACCAGGGGGTAAAATTCCGGCCGCGAACTTTTGAGTTTCGCGACATCAGCTCGATGGATTAAACGCGGAATTAAACATATATTTTCACGGTTGTGAATTTAATCAGAACACATCAAATTATAAAATCCTAGAATGTACGGCCCGGATTTTTACCCCCGGATTTTTACCCCCCGGATTTTTAACCCCCGGAATTTTACCCCCTGGACAGATATATAAATTAGTGAGAATGATTAATTTTCTTCATTCAGTTTTAAATTAATAGTTAACATTTTATTATTAAGTAGCCTATCTTAATTTATTTGTAACATTAACTAATCGAACAGGTTTTTAATTTTAATTTTGAGATTCGAGTGTCAGGATTCGATCTTTGAAGCCAACTGTTGGTTAATATCAACGATCACATAAGACCAACCTCAAGATTGGTCTTATGTGATCGTTGGTTAATATCGTTGGTTGATCAAAATAAAACTGCGAATTCTGTTTACTTAGTTGAGATTTCAAAATAAATGAATAAAGATAGGCTACTAAATAATGGCATGTTTACAATTAATTAAAAACAGAAATAAGAAAATCAATCATTCAATTTCTAAAATCGGCCAGGGGGTAAAATTCCGAGGGGTAAAAATCCGGGGGTAAAATTCCGGGGGTAAAATTCCGGGGGTAAAAAACCGGTCCGTTCATCTCCAGTTGTCTAAACGCTAGTTATATGGGCAGGGGGTAAAATTCCGGTTTTTATCGCTAATCTAATTAATCACGCTCTGACTATTTTCATTAGACTTCCAAATCCGCGGGGGTAAAATTCCCAAAACTTTTTGCCACTCTGGTTACTACGCCATAGTGACGTCAGCATTGCCCAGGGGGTAATATTCCAGGGGGATAAAATTCCGACGACCCGTAAGTACTAGGGGTTCTCTAAATGATGTAGTATGTACTACCATTGACTAAGGACCCTTGTCTGTGGTACTACCCTCTTAGTACGCGTACTACCCTCTTAGTACGCGTACTACCCTCTTAGTACGCGTACTACCCTCTTAGTACGTACTACCCCGTAGTATGTTGTACTCATAATCAAGGCACAACTGGCGCGCGGCGATAATCTGGATTTAATTTTTATTAAATCCAATCAGGCAAATGGAAATGCGCTTAGTCTGCAGGTTTGCTGTGGCGGGGGTATTTTTTTATATTTATAATCGTTATTATGTACAACCTAATGGGGCAATGAGTAAGGATATTTGTAGAAAAAACAAAATTAGCTTTTCAAAAATGATTAGATATTTACAAGAAATGTTGATTACATCGATCTATTATATACATCTTGAGTATTTAATTTTTTTTAGTCATCAGAAATTATGACTGTTCAGAAATTATGTTCGTTTTAAAATAACGCCTGTAATACTTAACAATTGCTCGAATTCGAGCAACAGGGACACTAGTTTATTTTAAAGTGCTATAGCCTATAATTCTTAACTAACAAATTATTGTATCAATAAAAATAATTCAGCAGTACAAACTTATTAAATATGATTTATTTTAGGCCTAATTCTAGTTGCCTAACTCTCTAATATCTCTATGCGAAATATAAAAACTGTTTATCCCCTATAAGGTTAACATTGGACAACGTACTGTTGCCATTTTCAACACCTCCATAACTGCAAGTCTTAAATAAGTGTATAAATAATAATTTTGAATTATTTTTATACTTATTTAAGAAATTCTTTATTGATGCAAGCGTTATCTCAACATGGAAACAGGATTTTAGACACAGCTCTTGTCAAATATAGCAACGTCTTAGAGCTAATTTATTTTTTTAGGTGAACTTAATGGTGCAAATTAAATTGTGTTATTATGTTATACAAATCTGTGGTATTATATAAACTCGTATTTGTTCAGCCTTTACTAATGATAAAATAGAATAAACACTAACCTTTGAATTAATAGTTCCAAGAACATAGAATTTTAGCTCCGACCCAGCGAAACCTTAACTCTTGAAGTCGGAATCACAAGTGGGAGTGGAGTGGAAGTGATGAAGTGAACTCAAGTAACAGGGAACGAGGGAAGGGAAAGGGAACAGAGAGGGGGAGGAGGCCATGAAAGTGACAATGGATTCCCGCCTTTTCTATCATGTTAGCCCCGCCATAATGATTTGCACATGCGCATGCGAAAACTTCCTCAATCACTCACTTGGAGCGCTATAGTCATTCTTTGAGGTAATAATTTAGGTTGTGGTTGTGGATACAAAGTAGGGCCTACTTACAAAGTTACAAACCATCTTCTTTAAGTAGGTATTCAAACGTTCGCGTTTACATACTGGCTTGTTGTAAGAAATAGTAAATAAATGAAGCAAGTACCTAACCTATAAATATAATAACTCAATATTGCGCATTTTAAAGAAATAGTAAATAGAACAAGTAAATGACAGGCTTAACTCAATAATGCGCATTTATACTCTTTTCAAAACTTTTCAAAACTTTACAAAACCGTAAGTGCTAGTAACGGTCTACAAGAAATGCACCATCTTCTTTATTTCTTTAATATGTTTGGAGCCTTAATTTTTGTACAAAACATTTTGCTGTTACTTCTTAATGGGAGAAATGGCCAAGAGTAAATATAACCAAATGAGATACGTTAAAATATATATTTTAAAAATCAAAATGATTTGCTGAAGATGTGATGTAAGGATAAAGACTCAACTTACCGGCCAAACTTTTGGAATGACACAGTATGGCTGCGACTATAACACTGCCCAAGTGTCCTCTACGGCTATCAGAATCAGACTGGGACTGGACTCAGTAAGGAGTCAGGGGGCTAGAGGCTAGAGGCTAGACTCTCCGACTGTGACTCTCCTCCTGGACTCGGACTGATGAAAGGAAAGGAGGGGAGGACTGCAGGGTGCTCAAGAAGCTCAATAAGCCATTGGATTGGGTAAAATTTTGCGACCTTGCGAGCGACTACGCCGACCACTGCGCGCCTAGGAGGATTAAACATTAAGGAGAGGACACGCTGTAGTTTCGTTGAAGCCAGCGTACTGAGGAGGGGGGGAGGCAGCGCTACTCTCCCGCCCCCCTCTCATACTGCGTTGTATGCGTTACTGGAAGATTTGGTAACAGAAATATCAATTGACTATTTAAAAATTAGACTTCATCATGCTACGAAAATTAAAAAGTTAAATTCTAAAAGTAATATTAGGAACCTATTAAGAGGAAAGTCATATCTATGAACCAATAGTACGTTCAAAGGTGAGTAATTTACACAAGGACGACTTGTATTTTAGAATTCTTTGTCCTTGTTTTTATTTTTTGCCATACTTGTATTGTGTATTATTTATAATACTCTAACCAGAGCGCGGGACTCCGGTTCATGGGGTCCCGGGTTCAAATCCCGCCATATCACCAATGGATTTTACTGTTCATAAATTAAAACTCAAATCATAAGTAGTACTGTATGTGTATTTGAACATTTTCTTAAAGAGAAATAAAATAGGTTTTAATCCTTTAAAATAATGATAAACGCACTTAGGTGGTCAGAAGACGCGATGATTGTTGAACATTTACACTTTTTACTCGAAGTTTCTTTGGGCAAACAGATCAAATATAGTTCAATATGAAATAAAAAAAAAAACAAGAATTTGATTGCCAAGAAATTGTTTTACTTTTTATGATTATAATTTAATTGTAACGGCTGTTGGTGTAAAACAAGTTAGAGCGGCTTTGCATTTTTTCTTAACTTTGGCTATTTAAAATCACCTGTCTAGCACATCAATGACTTAAAACTAGTAAAAACTGATATAAACAAATCGAGAAAACTATGAAAAATGCAAATTTAAAATGTATTTCACCACCCAAATTAAAATTTTCATTTTAACCTATTATTAGTAAGATTGTTTTATAAACTGGAAAAATAAAAAAAAAACTTTATTGTAATTATTTTTATAAATACCACTTTTAAATATAGGTAAATGTATATTTTTTATTTCGAGAAACTCTTAAGGAACATGAATAAATTGTTAATTTGTGTAGATACATCATATTTTTTTCAAAAACGTAATTATAGTAATCATATGTTCAAAGTCCAGGTAAATTCTTTCAACTTTGATCTTCAATAATAAATAATAAATAATAGTTTTTATAGGAATGATTGACACCGTTCGATAGGAAATTTAATTTACTTTAAGAATGCCATCGGTGAATAACACGGGTGTTTTAGTTTAGCGGCAATTTTAATTCGAAACAGCGCGCGTCGCGTTTTTCCCTATCTCTCCCATGTTATAGCCGAGGCTTTTTGCCACTCTACGGCTCCGCGTGCCCCTCTAGTGTTCTGCTAAAGCTGGCTTCACCGCAACACGTGTATTCCTATTCGCGTGCCCTCTCCTTAATGTTTAATCCTCCTAGCTGCGCGCACAGTGGCAGCCTGAGGAACTAATCAACCTTCTCTGTCGCACTCATAGTAAATTAATTAGCATAGCAAGCAACTGGCTGGATAGCAATAGGATGCACCGATTCAGCTGTAAAAAGCCAGTATGTTACAGGAAAATCTGTAATTCTTTGATTCCAAAATATCGGATTTATCTGACTTATCTGAAGGAATACTGTGTCTATTAAATTAAGCTTTTATGACTATGCTTTTGAAAGCTAACCACAGAATTCTAAGGAATTAAAATTATCTACACGTAGTATTAAAAGTAAAGCCCATAGATTGGATGATTTCCAACCTAAAAAAACACGGATATCAGATGTTTATGACATGATAAAAAAAAGTACAAAAGTCAAGTAAATCCTAACCAATAGAGGCGTGCTACAGGGTTCTAATTTGGGCCCCATTTTGTACCTTCTTTTTTGTAAACGATTTAACAGATGCAATAACAGAAGGGAAGTCTGGCTGTTTTGCGGATGATTTTGGGCCCACAGTTTGCGATAAAAAACAGGTGGGATTGGTGAAATGGATTCAATGGTGCAGCTCGAATCAGATTACTGTATATTAAATAAGAAAAGACAATATAGTTTTGTTTTATAATAAAATACCACAAAATTCACCCTAATTTTAGCGAAAGACTATCTAAATAATAAGACCCCAAGTGTTACAAGGCTACTACAAAACATCTCGAAATAGAAGTATGATTAAAAATTTGCTATTGTTGCTTTGACAGTGTATTGAATTATGTCATTGTTTTTGGAGTCCCACTGTGCCGAGGCAAATATAATATTTCTTTTACAAAAAAGGGAACTAAGAATCACCAATAAAGGACACACTTATATCTCATTGCAGAACAATTTTTCATTAAATTGAACATCATAATATTTACTTTAACCTTAGTTTCGGCATTGGCAGTCTTAACTGAGACGAAAATCAGTGTGTTTTAAAATTAACCATACAGGGTCACCGTTAAGTCTTAAGACGACTTTATAACTTTTAAACGACAAACGATATCACAACCACATTTGCTATACCGTTACTGGAAATGGTAAGCTACTTTTCTGTGTACATGGTTGTCGGATATCACCTTTGGGGGACGCCCGAAAACACGCCCGAAGTTATTTTTCTGTCGGGGACGCCGTCCCCCAAAGGTGATATCCGACCACCATGTACACAGAAAAGTAGCTTACAATTTCCAGTAACGGTATACCAAATGTGGTTGTGATATCGTTTGTAGTTAAAAAGTTATAAAGTCGTCCTAAGACTTACGGTACAACAAAAGACAAGCTAAAATTAGCCATATGCCACAAATAAATTCAACGTTAATGGAAAATGCGCGTACTATTATTAGTACTAATATGCAAAAAAGTACCAGAAGATATAAAAAATACATCCAAAATAACAGATCTAAGATACAATTAAAGAGGTATCAAATGAGAACACAATATTACAACATGCGAGAGCACCTGTATTCATAAATACTGTATAATTCATGTGAGCTAATTTGATAGTCAGGGCAATTTTGTAAACCTCACAAGAAAGGATAACAGTCATAATAGGAAGTAAATAAAATAGAAATAACATGAAACCCCCAACTTTCATGTATCATACATTATTTTTTTATATTTTGATGTAAGTAGGAGATAGAAGTTTGTAGTCAGTTCGAATACTAAATCTCCGATAGTTCGATTTCACCATAAATATCGGCTCAGTGAACAGCGAAATGTATCGGGTTTTCGGAATGGAAGATTCTGTCGGATTTTTACAAAGTGCCAAAGTGTCGCAATTTGCACTGTACAAACCAGCAATATTCATTCAATGTCATAAATGTCGGACATGCGGACCACATATTCAGTCGGCTCCGAGAACGGCGAAACGTGTCGGGTTTTCGGAATGGAAGATTCTGTCGGGTTTTTACAAAGTGCCAAAGTGTCGCAATTTGCACTGTACAAACCAGCAATATTCATTCAATGTCATAAATGTCGGACATGCGGACCACATATTCAGTCGGCTCCGAGAACGGCGAAACGTGTCGGGTTTTCGGAATGGAAGATTCTGTCGGGTTTTTACAAAGTGCCAAAGTGTCGCAATTTGCACTGTACAAACCAGCAATATTCATTCAATGTCATAAATGTCGGACATGCGGACCACATATTCAGTCGGCTCCGAGAACGGCGAAACGTGTCGGGTTTTCGGAATGGAAGATTCTGTCGGGTTTTTACAAAGTGCCAAAGTGTCGCGATTTGCACTGTACAAACCAGCAATATTCACTCGATGTCATAAATGTCGAAAACGCGGACCTCATAATTAGTCGGCTCCGAGAACGGCGAAACGTGTCGGGTTTTCGGAATCGAAGATTCTGTCGGGTTTTTACACAGAGCCAAAGTGTCGCGATTTGCACTGTACAAATCAGCAATATTCACTCGACGTCATAAATGTTGGAAATGCGGACCACATAATCAGTCGGCTCTGCGAACGGCGAAATGTGTCGGGTTTTCGGAATGGAAGATTCTGTCGGGTTTTTACACAGAGCCAAAGTGTCGCGATTAGCACTGTACAAATCAGCAATATTCACTCGATGTCATAAATGTCGGAAACGCGGACCAC